GGGGCGGGAGCCGCGGGCCGTTGGGGACGTGGGTGGGGAAGCTTTGAGCGACGGACGCGGCTCCGTCCGAGGCGCAGGGATGAGCGCGGCGCTGCCGAAGGTACCGGCGGGCCGCGACTGGCTCTGGGGGACACGGGGCCCGGCTCGGTACCCGGGGAGGAAGGAGGGAGTGACACAGGCCCGGCCCCGGGGGAGGGGAAGGTAAGGCCCGGCCTGGCACTGAGACTATGCTGGGGGGACACAGGCCTGGTCCTGAGTTAGTGCCCTGCGTCTTCTACCCTGGTGTACCTTTTGGCCTCAAGCTGCCCAGGGCAGGGTCAGGCTGGCTCTGAGGAAGGATTTCTGTGCAGAAGGGGCTGCCCAGGGCAGGGGGGAGTCCTCGGGATCCCTGGAGGGGTTGAAGAGTCGGGCTGAGCCAGCGCTGAGGGATCTGGGGGAGTTGGGAAGGGTCAGGGGGAGGGTCATGGTTGGGCTGGAGGAGCTCCAACGGCTTTTCCAACCCAGATGATTCTGTCATTCTGTGGACCGTGGGCAGAGACCCCACCCCGGCATCCAGGGATCACCCAAGCGACACAAAGTCCGCTACAGCCCTCCCCCCACCCCCATCCCTGCCCTCGGAGACTGGCAAATCCCTGGTGCTCCCTGTCCCTCTGGTCACTCTCTGGGGATATTTAATAATTATCTCCCCACCCTGGCTGGAACGCTCCTGCCTGGCAAGGGTTGTGTTGACAGCAAAGCTCTTTGCTTTGTGCTGCCTTGGTGATGGATGAGCTGTGTTTTCCTCATCGGTGTGGAGCTGGAACAAGCAGGAGGGTTGTTCATGCAGCTGTTGTAACCTGGAGGCGGTGGGACGGTATGAGGGATGAATATGATCTGTAACCGAGGGGAGGAGACCCTCCCACCCCAACTTGTTGGATCCTGAAGCAAAGTGAGGGGGTGCACGAGAAGGTTACTGCAGTCATCTTCCTCCTCCTTCATCTCTTTCCTCTGTGTTACAGTGGTAATCTGGGGAGTGACAGTGGCTGGAGGCTGTGAAGAGATTGGGAGGATTATTGGTACATGCAGAAAAGGTCTCAGGTGTTGTTTTGATGGCTGTATTCTGGCAAGCACCGGTGAAACCTTGCTGAGTATCTGCCACGCTATTTGCGTTTTGTCTGTGGTGGCTCATTGCAGGTGCTGTGCTTGAAGAAGGGAGCATTGCTAAAGCAGGTGTTTGCGCTCAGCAGGTGAGTGGTCTGAAATCAAACCCAGTAAGTAAAACACAGTATAAGACATTAAAAACACTCGGTCACTTCTACCGACAGTGTCAGAAAACATATGTGACAAAAAAAGGGTACTTTATGTCAAGGAAAATCTTTTAACTGTGGAGGGAAGACTTTTAGCAGATGTCTGGGAGCTGAAAGGGCTGTAGGATGTGAAGAAGAGAAAGTCTCTTTGCTAGTGGGATCTATCAGTGTCTGGGGGACTTGGGGTGTGAGCCTTTGTTCAAGGACAATGGCCAGAGAGGTTGTGTTTCTACAGGTGGGTGAAATCAGAGCTTTTAATCATTATCTTGTTTCTTACAGAGCAGCAACACCCAGAGAAAGCTGTCTGTGTGCTGCAGGTAAGGCCTTTTATTAATCCAGTGTAAGACAAAACTTCATTTACCCAAAATAAATATTACACATTTAAGCGTGTCTCCTTTTGATTTTGATTTGTTTTTTTACTAGCCTTTTCTTCTGTTTCCCTGTTCTTGGCTAAAGCAGGTGGTACTAGTCACGGTGTTACGCCGTGGAGTGACACCAGCCAGATGCTATTCACTGTATTCCTGCCCAGGAACTGACTTAAACCCCCGTGAGGTCCCACTTGAACATGTATTGAGCTGGTGGAGTCCGCTGTCACAATTTAAAATAGAATTTGATTCCGATCCGGAGGCAAAGTGTAATCGAGTGGTTTAGATCCTTGGCTGTTCTGAGCTCCATTTATTAAAATGAGGGCTATTGAAGGTTTCATTTTACCCTGGAGAAGGAAATACAAATAAAAGCTGATGCCATTTTGATTTGGCTTCCTAGCACATGAATATTTGAACAGGGCTGGATTTAAAATTAAGTGGGGCTCAGATCCATCATAGTAGCATCACTGCTGTCGCATAAGAGGAGACAGATGTAACATTTCATCAGTAACCTTGCCATCCGCTGGTGCTGGCAAGTCTGTCTTTTTTTGTTTGTTTGTGTGCTTGCCTGAGAATTCACCTGGGAAATGAGTCACTTTTAATCCCTTCCTTATTTGTTGCTCACCGTAACCAACAGTGAATTGTAACAGGCTTGCTGTGATGCACAGGCTGCCTGCGTGGGGCAGAGATCAGCCAAAGCCTTAGCCTGCCTCTGCCTTCTGTCAAAGAACCGAGGACAAATTCTTGTCCCCAGTGTGGATTTTGTGCTCTCAAAGCACCTATGTTTGTTTAAAGAAGGGCTGCCATTCAGCTGGAAACGTGTTTGCTCTGCTTTGATTTTAAGGTGGTGCACTCGTGAGTTGCCACAGACACTACAGAGCCCGTCCTACACATGGTATTGGGAGGTTTAAACACCTGCTCCCAAAGGAGGTAGGCATAAGAACTCCCTTACTGTGCTTGCTTTCAGCTGACCCATCTTTTCACAATCCCATTTAAATGTTGGTATTATTAATTCCACGTCTGATGAATCATATTAAAAAGGAATCATCTAATGATTTACTGCTACTTTTCTCAGTAGAAAGTGTTATGTCACATGAAGTACCCACTCACAACACTGCATAAATATATTTTTTTTTGTCCAGTATGTTCTTGTTTAAGTTAGTAAGTAGTTTGGGGAGGGAGGGATCTCTTCCTGATGCTGAATTTAACACCCCAGCTTCAAATTATTGCAGAATATTGTGAGCAGGTCTTATTTACATATTAACTTTTTACATTCCCAGAAATCTGGAATGATGACAATTTTCATGGAAGGAGGAAACAATAACTCATCTAGACAGCTGCCTGGAAGGCAGCAACTGAAATAAAAAGCAGTTTGTTTTCTACTCCTTGGTTTCTTGCAGAAATTAATCATGGTACACACGTATTTTCTGTGTGATTTCTGTGGTGCTGCCATCCAAGAACTGAACTGCTCAACTTGAGAACATCTGTTAAGATAATGTCATCCCAGTTTTGTAGTCAGGGAAAGTGAGCACAGATGGGCTGTGAGATGTTTGACAGAGTTCAGCAAACCTTTGTTAGAACAGAGTACCCTAGCATGGTCTCCTGTGTGGGCAAGAGTTAAATGTTTTTTTATTTCCAGCTTTTTTCAAAACAGATAGGTTTTCTATTTTTTTTTTTTTTTAAATACAGATTCCAAAGAAGAAAAAGGATAAAGTACAGATGAAAGAGATAAATGTTGGGACTGAATATGAATACGGAGATGTCAACATCTACATGACTTCCTATGATATGTGTCTCGTGGAGCATTTTGCTCAGTATGTGCATAAACTCTGCAACCGACTCTCTGTTAAAGTGAATGAAAGGTACGAGAAACCCAGCTCTGTGTTTGTCATCCCTTGCAGTCGCATTGTGTTAGGCCACGTGAGGCTTGTAGATGATGATACCTTGCAGACAAGGGCGCCATTTAATCTTGTTGATAGATTCCCACTTGTAAATCCAAATCTGTCATCTGCCTGGTGTTCTCTTTTTTTTGTGTGTCTGTACAGTTTTGGATGGTCTATTTGTATAAAGAAGGCTGAAATGGAGTTGTTCAGGCAGCGACTGAACAGACCCCAAGGGAAAAAATAGCCATTACTTTTCATTCCTTCGAGAAAAAGTCTTAAGCCCGTGGGTGCTGAGCATGGGAATGTAGGCTTAAATATTGCTGACTTTTGCTGCTGTTTTTTCTTTGCAGTGTTTCATCCAGGCTCTGCGCTTATATTATGCAGTAAGCAAGTGATACCAATTACACAAACTAGAATGAGCTTGGGAAACCCCTGAAGATTGTGGGAGAGTTACCCACTACTTTAGTAGTAGAGGATGCTTCAGCTGCGCACTAGATCTCTGAAGCAGGTAGCATCCCTGATAGCAGCTCTGCTGGTTTTGAGGAACGTGCTACAGCTCCTTCATGCCTGCAGTGCACCCAAGGAGCTGTAGTCACTGGGAGAAGCACTGCGTTGTAAGGAAGTAAAAACACTTAGTGGTGATTCTCTGAAGAGTGTATCTTTAACTGTACCTCTGAGTATAAACACTGGCTCCTTCTCATGCCGATTAAACCTATTGTTGTCTTTATGTTCATCCACTTTGCTGAACTGTCAGCTGTGGATCTGAAATCCCGTGTCTGTAGATCAGTCACTTGTAATATCTCTGTGATGTCTTTTGCACCAAACAGCACTAAAAACTGACACGTTGGTGACTGATAGGTGTTTGTTTCGAGAACTATGCACGAAGAAATTATTTTGGTGTCAGCAGCGATGCGCTGGAAAGAGTTCACAGAGAAATCCCATAGCCTAAGACTTGATAGCGCTTTCCATGGAACACGTTACTACCTTGTATTGTACTTGTGCCCTCCGAGGTTGGACTTGGTGTACAGAAAGAAATTATTTGCCCTTTAAGAGCAAAAATTGTAGTGTAAAACATGGGCAGTTGGATGTAGCCTGTTGTTATTGTGTAAATGGAGATGGGGAGGCTGAGGTCTCTGGAGTAACACTAACCAGAGAGCAGAATCTGATCCAGTGCCTGATCATCATCCTGTTAAATTCAGAAGTGAAAATAACGTATTGTGAGGGGTGCTTTGCCGCAGTGGTTTCTAGCTCTGTTCCCGATGAACAGTTTGCAAAATAAGTCAGAACTGTGGCTTTAAAGCTCTACTTCAACTATAAAGAAGGTAAAAGTTCTCTTCCCGGGCTGGTGTTTGTAGCTGAAACAGGTTTTTGCTGGCAGTAGTGCTGCAGGCTTCACCCTTATCTCTTTCCAGTAAAACACCCGGCTCCTGCCAGTGCTTGATTTGCAAGATACATTGTTTGCATAATTAATTTCTCATGAAAAGTTAATCTCCTTCCACATTCTCTGCTGCTGGAGGTTGATTCATTCCTGTAAAGTAGTGCAAATCTATCCTCCCTGTCCTAAGCACTGACCTGTGGTTCCTGCAGCTACGCGTTGCCTACCAAAACCAACGAAGTGCAGTTCTTGGAAGAGCGAGGTTCCAAACTGCAGCTGGATGCCATCCTTACTACCCATCAGAGGGTTGTCCAGGTATGAGCTGGCGTTTGCTGATAGTGCTGCAGCTCTTGTGCAGCACCTCCTATCTCAAGCTCTCAAACCCCCTTAACGATTGGAGTTTAGTCCCTTGAACAAACAGAGGGCGTGATTTGGGTGTAAATTGTAGCACAAAGAAGTCTAATTAGATTTCATGCTAAAGGTTACTCACAAAATAGAAGCAGAGGAAGAGTTCCTGGATTCTGTGTTTCAGCCGGAAGATTTATTATCTGGTTTATGCAGAATACTTGCTACAAGGCGTAGAAAAGTCACATTTAAGGATGAATGATTGGACGAACATGATAAAATTTAAAAATACTGTTAGTATCAGGGCCAGCTTCAAAAGCATACAACTGAGGTAAACAAGTATTTTTCCTAAGTGACTTTTACCTATTGTATAGCATGTTCCCTTTCTATATGCTAAACCTCTGCTGAATTACATTTTAAACCTTGAGGTGGACATTTCCACTGGAGAGAGCTGATGTGTGGTTGATGCTGGGGCTTGCAGGTTTGCCATGGCAGCCTTTGTGTTAGAGTCTGACCTAAATTAAGATCTTTGTGTGTGGTTAAGTCCCTTGACATGCCGGAGAGAGTGCAGGCAAGGACACGTAGCACAGTCTTCATAGAGAAGAGCTGAAATGAGAGCTTTGGGCCATGCTGTGTGCGAAAGGTGTGCGCACGACGCAGAGCATGCTTCTCTAATGAAGTCGTTGAGTGCCACGGGCTCCTACTGAAATGGACTCTTCCCGTGCCGTTAGTATAACGAGTCCATTTTGTATGTGGTGTTCTGCTCCTGCAGCACTTTAATTTCTTCTTTCAGATCAGCGGTTTGAGTTCAACATTTGCTCCGATACTCCTGGAAATTATTCAGAATAATCAGCCTGAAGGGGTCCATCTGTTAGTGAAAGAGGTATGTTTAATTTTAACAATACCTTTGCATTTAGGAAGCCAATATGATTGATGCATGACATGACTTTGCTTTGAAAATACAGATCTGGGCCTGAGGCTTCTGTCTGCTCTCGATTTAGGGATGCCCAGGGTCTCCCAGAACCAGGCCCTCACTTGGTCTATGAAAAAATATTACCTCTAATTCTTGATAAGCATTTCATCTTCCATTTAGCCTTGTATAACCAGTGCCACAGAAAGTATGTTCCCAACCAGTCCTACAGATCTGTAGGAGATGGCAGGTTGCAAGTTGTTCTCCTTTGCTGCTGCACATCCCCTGAAAATCAGAAGGGAATGCTTTCCTTCAGCAGTGCCTCACCATCTCATATCTGGGAATCACCAGAAACTTTGTGAAACAGTTGGTAGCAAAGCTGAGCAAAACCCAAATGCTGTGCCCTATTTTGATGGAATTTGCTCTGGGAGGGGTTTAGCTTGTTTCCTGCAGAAAGGTCTAACAGTTTTCTCAGCAGTGAGAACAGAACCAGGCATAAGGAGATATTTAAACTTTTTGTCATTTTACATTCAGACAAAACCATCCCAGGAGGCCCTTTTTATTCAGGGACTAAAAGACTTCTGTGGCTGGAAAGGGAAGGCAGCAGGCTAAATTCAAACATGAAAACACAGTTGGCTTTTTAAGTGGCCTTTGAAGAATGTTTAGTTATCACCAGCTCTGCAAAACCAGAAGGGATACAGGAGAAGGTCTCTTGAGTCCAGTAATCTTCTCTGCTTTGGTCACAGTCCCATCTCTGCCTTAGGGCTGCCATTTTATTTTTGAATTTTGGCTGTTGGCTTTGGCTCTGGAGGGAGAACTGTGACATTGTACCTTTTGCAGAGTCATTGCAATCTGATGCAGGAAGCCCAGGGGAGAGACCCAAACTGGCTTCATATGTCTGGCATTGCAGAAGAGAGATTAAAGCTTTGGGATGCTCTTGCAAAGTTCTGGAGAAAGTGGCAGCTCTGAGGGCAGGAAATGCTACGGTGATAGGCAGTGGCAGAGTTCGAGGCATCCAGCTGGTTTCTGGGGCACAGTGCTGTTGCTTGTTCTTCTAAAAGCAGTTAGCCAGGTGAGGAGGAGGAGCCTACAAGGCTGAATTTCGGAGTAGCCTGTGCAGTGGTTGCCACATTCTCTTCCTGCCAGAAGCTTTCTTCCCTCTGTGATTCACCCCAGAAGCTGCTTCTGTTGGAGGCTGGATGTAGGAGAGGAGGACAGAGCTCTGCCACCAGCCTCCAGGTTGAGCTGCCCATGAAATCCTACCCTGGAGTGACTTTCCTCTGAGGCTTCCCACTCTGGGTTCAGCAGACATTTAAGTCTTTTTTTTTTTTTTTTTTTACAGTTTAAGTGATCCTCTTTGGGAGAGGGTTTTAATTCCTCTTGATTTCAAGAGGTGATTCTGATTTGCTTGGATTTTTTTTTCCCCTCCCTCCACAGCACACAGAAGCTGATTTCAAGAGCCGGTTAAAGTCTCGACCAGAACTTGATGAGCTGTTAGCACAGATGAACTGAGCTGAGGAAGAATGCTCCATCCATTTCAGAGCCACCCCCAGGGAATCGAGGCTTCTTGTCTATGGCTGCTCAAGCCTCCAGGTGACATTGTGAGCACTGTATTGATAATTTGGTGAACAGGAAGAAAATTTCCACTGTTGTCAAGCAGCTTGTCTTAATAAATACATGGGTTTAGAACTGATTTTACTGTGAGTGAATCCAATGAAATGTTGGTTTACTGTTTTCAATTCTTCCTTTATTTCCCCCCACCCCCTGCATGTTTTGTTTTGGTATGTGAGGATTTCTGCAAGTTTCAGTCTGCAGAAATCTCTGCAAGTTAATAATGCTGTTCTGCAACTCTCCCAGATGCTATTGATGTGGAAGTGACTGTCCTGCTCCTTTCTTCAGCTGAAGGCCAGAGCAGTACTTGGATTTAAGCAGCTCTCCAAGAATAGACCCTCACCAACATGAATGGAGCCTCAGAGCTCTTGGAGGGTTGGGGGTGATCGTCCCTGAGCAGCTGAACAACTGCTTGACAGAAAAAAAAGTCTCAGAAAGCAGAGGCAGGAAGGTTGGAGCTGTCAGGCAGGGCATGCAAAATTTCTCCTTAATTTCTGATTTGCCTATCAAGTCAAAAAGAATAAACATTCCCCTGGGTCCCTGAAATCAACTTAAAACAGCCGCTTGGAAAGGGAGAAATTACTTGTGCCTCAAAGGGACAAATCTCAGAAGTGCACAGTGGTTTGAGGAATTTCTCAGGATGGTGCCAGATGCTTTTCCTAGGACTGCTGCTTTTTTTGAGGGATGTGGGACCAAGGATACCCAAATTTATCTGAGCTGCTGAGCCACTTACTGCCATCGTGCAAACCCCTGAGTCTGAGGGAACTGTGGCTTTTGGTTGCACATGGGTGCTGGTTTGACTGGATTATGGCACGTAGGTTTTTGCTACAATCCCCATTATTTCAAATTCTGACATGGGGTGCATGCAGCTGTTTTTATTTAGGCTGGAGCTGAGATAACACCTGATTCCACCATGCCATTATAAACTATGTTATAACAAAATCTGAGCCTTGGTTTGACAGGTGCTAAGAGGATGTTCTATTCATGACCAAAACCTCATTTATTTGTTGGGTTTTTTTCCTTCCTTTCTAAGGTCCAGCTCTTTAAAAAAAAAAAAAAAAAAAAAAAAAAAGGGAAAATAACTCATTAGCACTCTCACCCAAATTGGGGCAGCTGGATATTCACTCGTGGTCCCATGCTGGTTGCGAGTTTTGGTTCCCCAGCACCCACCTCCCTGGGAAACAGCCTGGAATGTTTCCCCCTGGCAAAAGCCACGGGCACCCTTCCCTTTCCAGTCTACAAAAAACAATTTTATTTTCTTTTTCAGAGCTTATTTACTCAGAGTATTATTCCGTTCTGGAAGAGCCTTTTTTCCCCCCCATCCCTAATGCACCTGGGCCTTCCCAGGAGATAATTGCCCCCAAAAATCCTGTCCCATGGGACATGAGGTTGTCACTGCGGTGAAAAGCCTTGGGATGGCGCAGGGAAGGACACAGAGTGGAAATCCACAGAAGGGCTGTTGTGGATCTGAGTCCCAGCCTGGGTACCATGAATGCTCCTCATTTGGGACATTTTGGGCTGGAAATCCCCGTTTCACCCCACAGCCATCCCCTCCGAGCTCCCAGTTATCCCCAGCAGTGGAGATGAAGACGAACGTTTTAGCCAGAGCAACAAATGTCACCAGATTTAATTTAGTGTGGATTTACCCAGTGCCTCCACCCACTTCAATAAAAAAAACAACACGAAAAAAGGGGTCAAATGGCACAGCTACCCCATTCCTGTGGTGCTAGGAGTGGGGGTTCCCTGGTGATTTCAGTCCCTGGTGGGTGAGGGGTTGGTTTGGCGTGAGCCGGCTGCCCGGTGCGGCTCCTCGGGGCGCTGCCGCCGGGCCATGCACTCGCCAAAAGCCCGGACCTGGGCTTGGCAGTGCCGCCAGTCCTGCCGCTCCGCCATGCACTCTTGCAGCTCCCGGTGCTGCGCTGCGCAGCCTGTCCGCGAGATCATGGCATCCAACGGGTCCTCGGCCTCCTCATCTTCCTCCAAGGACAGGCGGCTCCAGGCGTGTCCAGGTCTTGCCATGGCTGAGCCCCGCTGGAGGGAGGTGGCAGGCGTTGGGGTGCTGCTGGTCCCTTGAGAGTTTTATTTGGGTCAACGGCTCCCTTTTCTGGGGGCACCTCCCAGCGTGCTCAACACCCTCAGTACCCCCCTACCACACCCCTGTGGGTGCCCAGCACCCTCCATGCCCACATGGGTGCCCCCATATGCTCCATGCAACCCCAGGAGGACCTCAACCACCTCTCATGCAGCCCCCACACCTCCGTGGGTGCCCAGCACCCCCCATGCATCCTCCTATGGGTGCTCAGCACCTCCTGTATGCACCTTGCCCCCACCCATGGGTGCCCAGCACCCCCCAATCCATACTGCTCATCCCCTCTGTGGGATCCCAGCACCTCCCCATGCATCCCACTACCACCTGTGGGTGCCCAGCACCCTCCATGCTTCTCCCATGGGTGCCCAGCACCCTCCATCCTTCTCCCATGGGTGCTCAGCACCTCCCCAAGCATCTCACCACCACCCATGGGTGCCCAGCATCCCCCAACCCATGTTGCTCATCCCCTCTATGGGTTCCCAGCACCTCCCCAGGCATACCACCACCACCCATGGGTGCCCAGCACCCTCCATGGATGCTAGTCTCCCCTACAGGTGCCCAACACCCATTATGCTCCTCCCAACAGGCCCACAGCACTCTCCATACCCCTCCCATAGGCGCTAAGCCCCTCCCTCCTACATCTCCCCAGCACCCTCCATGCCCCCCGATGCCGGCCCGCCCCCCATACCAGCCCAGCAGCGTAGCGCGACCCCTTTAAGGCTGACGTCCGAGCAGGCACTTCCGGGGCGGGGCGTTGCGGCGGGAGCGCTCTCTCATTGGAGAGCGCCATCCTTTTCCGGTTTCGCCCCGCGGGGGCTGATGGGAAGGAAGGAGGCGGAAGGGGTGCGGGTGCCTCAGCAAGATGGCGGCGACGCTGCGGATCCAGAGCGACTGGAACCAGGCGCTGAGGTGGGCATGGCCTTCCTGGGTTTCCTTCTCTAGTCCTGGGCCCCTTCCCCTGCTCCGCGCCTACCGCCGCTCTTTTTCTCCGCAGGAGGGACGAGGGTGAGGCCTGGCTGAGCTGCCGGAGCCCCGGTGAGTGCTGAGGGGCCTGCAGAGGCCCCGGAGGAGGCGGGATGAGGGGGTGTCTGGAGGGCTTGAGGGAACCGTGTAGGTTAGAAGGGAGTGAGGGCGGTTGGGGAGGGCGCCCTATGGGTTAGGAGAGGGTGAGGGCGGTTATGCGGGTGCCCCGTAGGTTAGGAGGGGGTGAGGGTCGATGTGAGGGTGCTGTGTGGGTTAGGAGGGGTTGAGGGGAAGGTGGGTCTGAGGGGTGGCCGAGCTGAATGGCTGCTCTCCCCGCAGGGAAGCCGACCCTGTACGGCAGCCTGACTCGCCGTGGGCTCAGCACTGGGGGCATCCCTGACATCGTGGCCTCCGAAGGCTTCGTGGTTGGGAAAATCACCAAGGTACCAGGGCTGAGGTGGAGTGGGGGTTGGTAACCGTCTTCCACGTGCGAAGGGGTGATACTCTTATGATAGTTAAAATAGTAGTTTAAAGCTGTTGCCCAGTCCCCTGAGTGGTCTGATCCAGATGCCCTGGGCCTCCCACCTGTACAGTGCCCCAGAGTTGGTCTGTAGCATCCCACAGTCAAGCTGGGGCTGTGTGTTGTGGGTGGTCAGGCTGTAGCAGCTGTCCCTTGCCACCGAGGGTCTGCATCTTCAGGATCAAAGAATCATCAAGGTTGGAAAAGCCCTTGCAGCTCCTCCAGCCCCACCATGACCCTCCCCCAGATCCCTCAGCGCTGGCTCAACCCGACTCTTCAACCCCCCCAGGGATCCTGGGGACTCCTCCCTGCCCTGGGCAGCCCATTCCAACGCCCAACAGCCCCTTCTGCACAGAAATCCTTCCTCAGAGCCAGCCTGACCCTGCCCTGGGCAGCTTCAGGCCATTCCCTCTTGGTCTATTGCTTGTTACTTGGTTAAATAATGTGTAAGGAGATGAACCCAATGCTGCACTTTGCATCACTATTCAGACTGTGAGAGACCACAGCCAGGTCCAGATCATAGTTCTACCTTGGCAGCCTCTGTGTTTCTTCAGTAGGATTAACAGCACTTCTAATTCTTTATCTCCTCTCTTTCCTCTTCTAGAGAAGTATTCTTATTTCTTGTCCTCACGAGAATGTGTCCACAAAGTTCCTGGCTCCGTACACAACCTTTTGTAGAATTCATCAGAAAAGTGTAAGTAACCTTGAAACTGAGTGGGAAGTAACTGGAAGCGACCGTGAACTTTCACAGTGTGTCTCTGACCATTGAGTTTTCATTCTGAGGGGTGACCTCCAGCATGACTTTGTGTGTGAAGTAGGTAATGAAACAAATCAGACCGTAGAAACTTGGAGAACTTGATTGATTGATTGGAGAACCGTAGAAACTTGGAGAGCTAAAATTCTTTAGGCTGTTTTCTGGCAAATGATCTAATTTCTGCTTCTTTCAGGCCCATGACAGATCCCTGTTTAAAGGAATAAGATTTGTAAATTAGTGTGTCGAAAACCAAGGTAAAAATAAGAGGTTCCAGGCACTGAGCTTTTCATCTCTGACTGGTTCAGATCAGTTCCCAGTTCACAGCACCTGTTTGCCTCCATGTAGTGAAATTGGCTGTCTTTGATATTTGCCATATGAAATTTCTGAGGGGCTGGGAATTGAATGCTGTATAAACTCATCTTGACCTGGTGGGAATTCAGAGACCAGAAAGGCTGAGCTTGTGTTAAAAAAAATAAATAAATTACATGAGCTTCTCACTTAAAAGCAGTTCTACTCATTTTGCTGAATAACCTTCCTTATTGCACCCCCATCGATCTGGAGGCTCAACAAATAGAGCTTCTCGCTGAACAGCGATACAGAAAGGCTGAATCTGACCTGAAATTTCATTTTTTCACTGAAGAGAAGCACATAGCTTGGCTTTGCTGGAAAGTAGTCTGTGCTTTGCCTGGACACTTAACCCGATGTGGAAATGATCTGAGCAGCTAGAGAGTGTTTAGCCTGCAGGTACAGCCAGCTGCCCTAAAGAGAGTCCTCTGAAGGCTCCTGGAGAAGTTTCAGAACACTTGTCTCATGATTTATTGAGTAAATTGTTGTGATAAACCCAGGTGAAAATGCTGAAAAGTCAATCTCTGTTAGTGAAGCTCAAAAGCAGTATAAATCAAGGTGTGTTTTGACATAAAGGCAATTCTGCATCTCCACAGCTGTTTTAAGAGGAAGTGGGGCTCTGCTGAGAGACGGAGCTTGGCAGTAAGGCAGCTCCGGAGACAGAGGTGAATCACTTCTCTGAGCTTTGTGGTACTTAAGAGTCCCCAGCTGCCCTTTTGTGTGATAAATGGAATCAACATTCAAAGCACAGCAAAATGGAAATGCGGGTGTGTTTAGTCTGCTGTCAAATGGGTGTGATGGGTTACAGCTGCACTGCAGATCTCTCCTCTGGAAAGCAGCTGAAGCAGTATCTATTAATATGTAGATGAGTTTAAAGCTGATGTGGTCTAAGCTCCAGTTACCCTTTTTACCTGCTGTCTCTTGTGCTGAGCACTTATGCTTGGCCCTGCCTGTTTACATATCCCTCCTGAAAATGTGGAGGTTTGTCAGATGTCAGTGAGACTTTTCGTTCCTGTTTGAATGACCTTCACAGGCTGCTTTTTTTTGTTTGTTTTTAACTAGGGAGCAAATTACCACAGACTGGTTTGTTATATTGGTAGCATGAGTGGCATTTTATATATTTCTCACATTACCAGTATGTAAGTCAGTGTACTTAACAGCCATTCTAACAGCTAAACCATCACTTTGTGCTCTTATTTAAATCTTCTAATTCCTGTTTTAATCCCCAATTATTTTTTTTTTTCAAGTGGAGGTTGAGTATTGATCCTGCACCCTCTTAAAATTAGTTGTGATTTGAGCTGTTGGAGCTTTTGAGGAGAGCAGTTTGGTCTGACTCTTGCTTGAATAGGAAAACTTGTGACTGAAGTGTGACATGTCCCCACAAACCCTGGCTGATGCACGTGCAGCAATAGGATGCCATAGAACGTCCTCAAAATCTGGAAACAGCTGGAGATTGATGCAGGTCTGTTATGTACTTGGTCTGCCCGAGAGCACTGTCAAATCTCAGGCTTCCAGCTGTCAGTTTTTTTCTTGGCAAAGTCTCTCAATCTACTCATATCTTCAGGTTTCCCTGTGAATGTGATAGTAAATCCAACTGTCTCTTCAGGCTGGCTGCTAGCTAAGGCTGAGCACCTGCAAGAGGCTGGACAAAGCCCAGTCCTGTTTGAAAGTAATTAATTGTTCAGAAAATCTGAAGCCTGGGATGAAGATGAGCAGCCTCATCCTTTACCTGGTCCTTGGGACTGACAGACTGTGCATGTTAAGACCAGAAACCTGCACTTTGTGGTGGTGAGGGCTTGGAATGACAATGGAACCGTGATCTGACTTTCTGATGGTGGATCTGCATTTCTCGGTTCTGTCAGTGGATTTTACCACTGTAGGATTTTCTTTTAATCTGCAGAGTGCAAACGCAATTATTAGGAAGCTTTTGGAGGTAATACATCATGACCCCAGAATTTAAATCTTGCAAGACAAGGTAGTTATTCCGCTACGTAGCTGTGATATTGTATTGTTTTTTTGCAGGATGCAACACTAATGTTAACCTTTGTTCTAACAAAACCTATATAGTTGTTTTTTTAGCCTTTTTAGTGTCACTGCAATATGTATTGGAAATATCTCTGTCACTTGGAAGGCATTAGTCATTCTTTTCCAGGCTACGATACTTGTTATACAACAAAAATGCATCTGCCTTTCCCAAATGGCAGCAGTGATGGATGGCGTTATGGGAAAGGCTCCCCTTTTGCAAGAATATAAGATCAACATCTGCTCTCTTCAAGAGTATCCAGCTCTCCCCGTGTTTATGCACAGCGGGCAGTTGTTAATACCTTGGTGTGACAGCCTGGGTGAGGAGTTAGCCTGCCTGCATAAGGAACGACTTCTGAGTTGGTGTTTCAGAAAATTTAGGCTGTGCTGTTGGCTTCATAAATATCTCAAACAAATGTCTTGTGGGCTTGTGAGCTGGGGCACTCTCAAGCTGGCCGCTTATCTCAGGCTAGCGTGGAACAGCTTGGCTCAGTTTCTTAGCTGTGTACAGGAGTTGCTAGAACAATCCAGATTTCTGCTTCACCTGGGGTAAACCTGAAATACAGCTGCTGTCTGTGCAGGCTTCTGATTCAGCATTTCTTGTTCTCCCTGCTTTGCGGATCTCTGCAAAGTCACAGGCAGAGCATAACAAATTCTCTGTCAGGTGTGGTGGCAATTACAAGAAATCTGGGGTGCTTTGTGCCAGTTTCCAGTCACCCAACTCATCTGAGCCCTGGCTGTGGGTCAGCCCAGATCAGCAGCTTGCTCCTGAAGGAGGAATGCAGCAATCTGTGTAAACAGATAAATTGAGAAGGATTTTTTTATGTTGCCCTTGTCCTCTGGAAAACTGCTTCTCAGGATCCACTTGTTTTTTGATTCCTTAAGGGCTTAATTAAGATCTCATAAAACATATTGAGAGGGTGATGTGAGAAAGCCTGCAGAGTCCTTGCTGAACTGTTGGGATATTACCAGGCTGAAGCTGTTAGCTGGGAGTGTGGAAGCTCTTTGGGGTGTTTTTAAATGAGTCCAGCAGTATGTCTTGGGGAGGTAAGTGCTGAATGATGCACTTCACAGGCTTCCCCTGGTACGGAGTTATGCTCTTGAGCAGAAATGCCTATATGCAGGGTGGTATAAAGCTAACTTCTGGTGTTTTTATCCCCCTGCAGATTACCTGTCTTGATATTTCCAATGGTGGAGGGCTTGGCGTGTCGACCAGCACAGATGGGACCATGAAAATCTGGCAGGCTGCGAATGGAGAAATAAGAGTAAGAGCGTCTAGCTTTTGTTGTGTGTTGTCTGTGACATTACTGAAGTCATTTGGCCGTGACTTGGGTCAGGCTGTGCTCTAGGGCGGGCAAGAACCTGGCTTTTGATTGAAAAACTAATTGAAACTTGACATCTCGGAGGTTTTAAGTCAAATCTGTTGGAAAGTGTGACTTCTCCCAAGGGAAACGATGCTCAGCAATCCGGAGAGGAGTCCCAGGGTGAAAATGAAAATGAATGGTTAGGAATGACAGCTCCTCACCTGGGTGGCACCAGCTCAGAATTTCTTCTGCAGCAGAGAGGATGATGTGAGGAGAAAAGATTCCTGCCCGTGATGGTTTAACCACATCGTGGCTAGTTGCCTTCCCAGTTAAGGTGTTTATTGTGGAGCTTAACCTGTCAGCTGCTTGTTTGGCAGAGGATAAAGACATTTAACCTGTTATTAGAAACAAATGCAGTATCCTTTGCTATGTAATTAGCTACTGAAATGATAGAGGGAGGCCCAAAGTGTACCTGTTAGCTCTTTGACTTCAGACAAATCAGTTCCAGGAATGCAAACCCAGAGGATTTGAGTTTAATCCTCGACCCACTTGGAAAAGCCAAGTTTTTCCAGTGTCATAGCTCAAAAATTGCTTGGCATAAGAATGATAACAATGGAACTAGCACGTAGTTCTTTGTTTTTCCAGAGACTATTGGAAGGCCATGTGTATGATGTGAATTGTTGCAGGTTTTTCCCATCGGGCCTCGTGGTTCTGAGTGGGGGAATGGATGCCCAGCTAAAGATCTGGTCAGCAGAAGATGCCAGCTGTGTAGTAACATTTAAAGGTCACAAAGGAGGTACAGAGTACTCATCCTTTAAAATGCTTGATCTGCCGTGTGTATAATTGCCTTGCACCTGAGAGCTAATGTTCATTCACCAGCCTGCTGCACTGTGCTGTACATTTGGTTTTGATGTCTGAAGTATCTTTATCAAGCTCCCAGAGTTAAGGACTTGTTGTATTAGACAGATGAAACTGTTTCTTTCGCCAACCTGCATTTTCTTTGTTACTTAAGGTAAAAAGAGGGAAGAAGCAGTCCATTAGCCTGTTGTGAGTGCCGGAGGAGGCGGCAGAGCACATTCTGTTCCTCCAGGGCAGTCTCAACTCCCTGGAGCTCCCACCTGCATTCAGGAGCCTTGTTGCCTGCACTGGGAATGCCTCCTGCTTGCAGCCAGGTCATCCTGCTTGCCTTCAGTTGCTCCAGAGCTGCTTTTTTTGTTTTCACTTGCCCAGAAAAACATATAGCAGTTTATTATTGACTTGCAGAACTCACCTGCCTTGAAGATGTGTGCTGTTGAGTAAGGCACAGCAAGAGCAGCTGCAAGGATTCTTAAGTGATTATTTCTTAAGAAGGGCTGGAATAAACTTGTTCACCCTTGTGCTGAGGGCAGATGTTCAGCTCTGCCCTTGCTGATGGTCTCGCTGCTCAAAATGAGAGTAAATTCTTTTCACTCCTCGTGCCCTCATGTAGGGGATGCATTGGCCACCTTGTGTGGTGAGTTTAGTGCTGTTCTGTGCATTCAGGGTCTACACTGCAAACTCCTCCCATTGATGCTCTCTTAGTCCTAGTGAAGACCTGCAAGAGGTGGAGAAAATTAGCTACCCAGAAAGACCTCTGAGAGCTGTGATCAAAGCAGGTTCCTGCACAAAGCCCCTGTTAATCTTTGTGGAGAAGATTGGGTTTCCAGCCCCCTTGCTCAGAATCAGTGTGGATTTATATGTAATATTTAAGCAGGCTCCCATTTTACTCCAGTTTAGGCTTGGCCTGGAGCACAGTGAAGCTGTCTTGTCATGGTGATTTCTTCTTAAGGGATGCCCACGTGAACGCTTGGGTGATTGTGAGCGAGTCCAAGTGCGTTGTGGATGTGGCGTCCACATGATGCCACAGACGCCCAAAGTCCTGCCCTAAGTTATCTCCTCCATAAGCAACTAATCGCTCCGTACAGGCTCTTGTTTTCCGTGTCTCACGAGGTGCAAGGCTTTACTGAAAAGGTCAATAAGCAACGTGGCTGACAGCCCAAAACTTGATTAACTCAGAAGCTTGTCTTGCACTGAACCTGCCAGTGTTCCCGTGTGCTCTGTTGGTGTGGATTCAAAGTACTTTGCTACAAATGTCCTGTAAACAAAACGTGGCAGGCGGTGTAACAGAGCCTTGGTCAGAATGATGCTGGCTGATCTCCCGATGGTTCAGAAGTTTATTCAGTGCTTATAACTCTAACCCAAACTGCTGCAGTCAGTTTGCTTGGCTTATCCTGTCGTTTGAGCTTGTCATGTTTAATGACTGCTTCTGTAGGGAAAGCATCAATTAAATCTAACCATCTGACTGCTCCCTTCCAAAAAAAAAACCTGTGTCATTTTTCACATCTAGACTAAACATCCCACTCTGAAATAAAAACTGTTGGGGGATGTTGGCACCTGCAAAAACTGCTCTTTTGATGTTGCTGTCACTGGATAATATGGATGCTGCTTGTGCCACACAACTTCTGGGATTATCTGATTATCCACATCTGGACTCAGCAATATTTTAAGAGTGCTGGGCTAGACTGTTTTCTGCCCAAGTCAGAGGTTAATTTTGGAGGTAAAACTCAGCAGCAGCTGCTGTATCACCTCAGTCTGAGGCAAGGTGTTGCCAATCATTATATTGGTAACATCTTGCCTTTGTGCCAGGCAGTGGCTCTTGCTCTGTGGTTTGCAGGGAGCTGCTGCTTTCCACATACATCTTTTTCTAGATGCCGTGGCTCCCTGCCCCACATTGCACCCTGCACAGTTTGCCTGGTGCTGCCCTGGGGACGGTGGTTTGGGGCTTGTAGTTGAGTTTGCCTTGGGATAGGAGGTTCTTTCTGTCTCTCTGCCTTCTATCTGTCTGATCATGGCCTTTGCTTTGATGCAGGTATTTTGGACACTGCCATTGTGGATCGGGGAAGAAATGTCCTTTCCTGCTCCAGAGATGGCACCGCCCGTCTCTGGGACTGTGGAAAATCTGCCTGTCTGGGTGTCGTCGCTGACTGTGGCTCTCCTGTCAACGGCATCGCCGTGGGCACTGCTGACAACTCACTGAACCTGGGCATTCCTGAAAAAGCTCCTAGTAAGGATCTCTCTCTTAAAATTCACCTTCATCCCCCTGTCCCAAAGTGCTGAGGTTTCTCACTGGTAATCCCGAGCGTGTGACTTGCTGCTGTGTGCCCTTTGGTACTGCCTAGGGAAGGGAATCGAGCACTCCAGTCCTGAGGAGGAATTGAGCCTTACCAAGCAGTTTTGAGTGGTTAAGACTGGGGTCTCCTTGATTACTGGCCTGCCTTGCTGGTGCCTGAGGCTCTGGAGGAATGTTGCTGTAGGTTAAGCAGGGTGTGATCTAAACTGTCAGGTTTTGGTATCATCAAGATTTGTTGCGTAGCCACTGCTGGAATTAACTGTTGTCCTTTTGTCAGGTGAACGTGAGATTGGGACAGAAGGGAAAATCCTGCTGCTGGCTCGAGAAGACAAGAAACTTCAAGGAGTGGGACTGCAGAGCAGGCAGCCGGTAAGGAGTTGGAGACTATCCGAAGTACTTGCCTGGGAGAATGTTCTGAGATGCTGCTATAAAATCAGCTCTGCTGCTGCAGCAGCTCCTTGATTAATAAGCTGCTGTTCACGTGGTTGTGCAGAGCATTATGCTGAGGTATTGAGCAAGGTTAAAACTAACATACATTGCTGAACTGGTTAGTGTTAATCCCATTCCATTCCCTTGGTGAGGTTCACTGCGTGGCACAGAAAAGGACAAAACCAGGCTGGAGGCAGGGAGGGCTTTGGCTGAGGGTCCTACACTGCGGTGTTCCCCCCCCATCTGTATTCTGTGGGGGAGAGACTAAAACCTGGTACCATAAAGGGATGCTTTCTCATTCTTTCTGCTGGCTGGATTTCTATGTGGGGGTTTGAAGAATAAGAATGGCTCACTAATTTAACCCAGAAATGGAGAGGATTATTTAAAATTGGCCAGTAGATGTCATTGTGAAAACAGGAACTGCAGGCTGCCTCACGCAGCAAAGGTGTGAAGTTGCTATTTATTCTGGCAGGGGTTTTAACTGGGGTGTGAAGGGGACTTCAGGTGGTCACCAGTCCATCTTATCTCCCTCCCCTTGGCAAAGGGAGATGGAGATCTTGGCTACTGATGATCTTATCAGGACCATCTTGGGCAGTAGGACAGGAGCTCCTGATGATGTGGCAGATTGAACCATTGTCTCTAAATTGGAGAGACGTGGGTTTGATGGATGGAGCACTCATGGGTAAGGAATTGGCTGGGGGGTCACACTCTCAGTTGTGGTCAGTGGCTCGATGTCCAAGTGGAGAGCAGTGACGAGGGGTGTCCTCAGGGGTCGGGGTCGGCACCGGCGCTGTTGAACATCTTTGTTGGGGACATGGACAGTGGGGCTGAGCCCACCCTCAGCCCATTCCTCCCGACCCCAAGCTGTGTGGGGCGGTGACACGCTGGAGGGAAGGGATCCATCCCGAGGGACCTGGGCAGGCTGGAGAGGGGGGACCCTCTGAACCTCAGCGAGGGCAACAAGGCCGAGGGCAAGGTCCTGCCCAGGGGTCGGGGCAATCCCAGGCACAAATCCAGGCTGGGCCAGGAGGGGCTGGAGAGCAGCCCCAAGGAGAAGGACTTGGGGGGCTGGGGGTGCAAACTGCCTGTGAGCCAGCACCGTGCGCTGGCAGCCCAGAAAGGCCCCGTGTGCTGGGCTGCACCCAGAGCAGGGGGGGCAGCAGGGCCAGGGGGGGATTCTCCCCCTCTGCTCCGCTCTGGGAGACCCCCCTGCAGGGCTGGGTCCAGCTCGGGGGCACCAACAGCAGAAGGACACGGACCTGCTCCAGCGGGGCCAGAGGAGC